AAAATTATTTTCCGGTACATGTAAAAGCTGCATATTCTTGTCGTTTAAAATGTTTACAAAGGCTAAGACGAGTCAGTCACTTTAAATTTTACCATACAAAAGACCTTTAATTTATAGTACATTTTTAGTGATATTGTGTACACTCACACCATATATCTAGCTGATGAACTTATCTTCTTTAAAACTGATATAAATCATTTTTTTGGTGTAATAAATAAATCAATATGTTAGGGCTATATATATTTTTTTTCATAATAAGGGCTATACACTATATTCGTTGAGTCGGGGCTACAAGAATCATATTAGGGATGTGGAAGATATATTTTTGCATTAGTTTTGAAACAAAATAAAAATGAAAATTTAAAGTTTCTAAATATGTTTTTAATTGTTATCACATCATTAAGATCTACATGTCAAATATCGAGCATGAACTAAATAAATTATTCTGATTATTAGTTTCTTACTTAAATGGCTTTGAACACTATCCAAAAATCAGATGAAATAATTTTAACAACAAACATCTAGAAGAGATATCTACAAAGTGATGCCCTCAATTATTCATATTTAGGGGATTAAGTTTTATATAATATTATTTACACTCCAATTTCATATGTTTAAGCCATATCCACATGTGTAGAGTTTCATGACGACATATATCTAGTTGAAGAATTTGTTTCCCAAAATTATTTGAAAATATATTCTTGTCATGTCTAAAATAATAAATATGTTTTTGAAAACCAACATCTTAAAAAATGAAGAAGAAATAAAATAAACTTGATTTTGTTAGTCTTCTTCTTGTAACCCCAACTTGTAACATTTATGTGACTTATTCATAATACATGACTTAGTGCTTTCATGCAGCATTGCAGAAATACTCGTTACTCAACCAACATCTTAAGAAATGAAGAAAAATAAAATAAACTTGATTTTGTTAGTCTTCTTCTTGTATCCCAAACTTGTAACATTTATGTGACTTATTCATAATACATGACTTAGTGCTTTTATGCAGTGTTGCACAAATACACATTACTCATCTTGAACTCGTTATTTATTTCATATTTATTTTGATTTTTCAAGTACTCATCATTGACAAATCGAATATTAAATAGTAGAATTTTAAATACTCACAAATACAAACCAAGTAACATATATATAAAAACACCTTGATATTATTCGTTACTTATTCTTGTAAAAATAAATAGTGTTTCAATAGGAAGATTTAACTTTTCTTCATTCTTCTCTTTTACGGTATGCATAAGTATTTTGTTTATATTAGTTCTCATGTTTGTTACTGTAATAAATAAAATAAACTTATATTTTATTTCTAGTAGAGTATTATTCAGTAAATAATTTGAAATTCTCAAAATTATATTTATGGTACTTAAAAATATCTGCAAATATATAAATTTTTTATGTAATTCATAAATTATCCGTAAGTAGCTAGTAATAGAACATATTAAGTAGTTTGTAAGTATTCAAAATAACAATTCGTTCTTGAAAAGTCAAATACAAATCAAAAAAAATTCCACTACTCGCGTTGCGTCGAGTTCTACTCTCACTTATTTGTCAAGCGACTGCACACGTGCAATCTCTCTCTCATCCCCATATGTATCAATTCTTGCATTGTAAAATTTTTAAACTCTTGTGATTCCGAGCTTCTTGTTGGTCTAATAATCCAAATCCTAGAATAACGAGCGTTGATTTTGTGATGAAGGATTGGTTACATTCAAATAGGTATTTTATAGAGAAGTTTTTACATATATAGTTAACCAACATATTTGAAATAATAAATTAGGCCAACTCAAAACAATTTCCATATTTTAATTCAATGATGTGTGTTGGAATATAAATATGTGTTGTAGTACATAAAACATATGAGTCACTCCGATAGCTAACTTATTTCGATGAAACTTTAAATTAGTATTAAATTTAAAAAATAGTTTTTATATGTAAGATCATGCTACAATCTTATAGTTTTATATGTAAGATTGTAGCATGATCTTACATATAAAAACTATAAGAAATTTCGTGTAATTAAACAAAAACTATAATAGACTTTTGTTTACAGCATCTTTCATACTATTGTTTAACCAAAAAACTCATGTAGTGGACATATTCTAACATGATTTATCAGGCATTATATCTCATTTAATTCTAACTAATAAGTATAAGAAAATGTTATACAGATTCAACAAACAACATTCAGTAATCAATACAAATTATCATAAAATATCTTGTATTATATATATTAAAGACTCAAACAAAAGTGCATAACACTTTCGAATATTAAATTAAATTTAAATCCCATAAGACTTCTTCTCACTAGTCCACCTGCACAGAACAAATTAAACCCAACACGTGGAATAATAACTCGTAGTTTTAATTTATTTCTATTTCACGTTTTGTGACTTTGTAACTAAAAGTAAGTCAAAATTAATATAATCTTCAAAAGACATTTATAAAAATCGTGTGAGACTCTGATTTGCTAGTTTAAAGTTGCGTTTAAAAAGTTTTCGTAAAATAAACCAAAAACGCAGTATAGTAGATAATGTAATACTGTTACATGATGGATAGAAAACGTGTCACCCTGAGTTGAATGCAAATATTAAAACTGATCGTCCATTTTTAATTTGATTTGATTCGTTAGTCGTTTCAATTTAATCTAAAAATTTTAGATATCCATAAGCTTTTGTAAGAAAATAAGTATTAAAATTAATATTCGTTAAAAGTAAAATATATAACAAATACTAAAAAATTTGGAAGTGAATATCGAATCTGTTCTGAATTTTATACAAATAGATGTATATCTACAATTACATATAAAAATTTAAGTCTACAATTTTATATAATTGTTTTAACATATTATTCTACTAATTTTCTTTATATAATTATTTATAAAATATTAAATTAAGAAAAAAATAATAAATGATAAAAAAAATTATCTATAGTAAACAACTAGCATACACGACAATACTACAATTTCTAAAAAAATTAGGTTTTATAAACAATAATTAATTTTAAATGATTAAACATATAGTTTCACTATTTTTTATATTATGTAAAAAATTTTTTTGAAAACTTACTAATATGATTTATTTATTTATTTGTAGCAAATAAAGTGGATTAGATAAATATTGGTAAATATTTATAGATATTTATAAAATTTTCAGATATGCAGAGAAACCTTTATCTATATTTTCTGAAGTAAAACAAATTAAAAAATCATATATTCATCAATTACGAAACAAATCATCAATACTAAAATTTGGGATTATTAGTATCTGCCCTGGCAAATATTGTAATCAAATACCCAACAGTTATCCGATCTCATTAACTTTACCAGCCGTTATCACTAAATTATCAATATATCAAAATTTTAATTTAGGTATAAGAAACAAAAGTGACTGGATTTTATGACACTAGTTTTCTTTTGTTACATTCTTTGGTAATTATAGATCATTGATTAAAATAAGTTTTTATGAATCGAGCGTAAGTTTTACTTGCTGAGATTGTTTGAAAACAATGGCTTACAAAATCAAGCTCGTGAAGCTGTATCGCTCGTCATCCTCTCAATGGCTATATACTATTAGCGCATATACTAGCACAAATGTAGGCTTAATTTTTACAGCATTCAAACTTTTTTTTTTTTAACTATATGGCTTCTAAAATTATAGCTTATAACCCTTGTTATGCATTTAATAGATTGCCTCACATGGTTAATTTTTTTTTTGCCTCACAATAGCATGGTACACTAACATACATTCAAGCTAGGTGATGCATTTGTCTATTAACCCCTTTAATGAAATTATAATAATGTCCACTAAAATGTTTTGGGCATATGTTAGAATATCGTTAAAATATGTAAGATACACATACAGTTATTATTTGATCAGAAAACGTAACATTTTATTATTAAATGTACTCTGGTAGAATTATAAAACAAATGAAAGTTTGACTGTGGTTCTTATCAAATACTTCATATGTTTCAATATGTTACATATTTTAGATTTTGCACACATGTTAATAAAATATATTATAAATACATAATTTTCTGTGATTATTTTCTCTTATAAATCTAAACTTATAAAAATATAATAAGTGCAATTAAATTTTTTAAAATTTGTTATTAATCATTATTAGTTGATAAAAAATATACATAAAATACAAATATATTTTTTAAAAACAATTTTTTTTTCTAAAACATGTAACATAATGAGACAGAGAGAATACATCAGACAAACCAACACTAAAACACCATGGAAATGGCTATATTCTTTCAATTAGTTAGTTCAAATAAAATCATTTCTTATAAACAATTCAAGACTAAAAAAGAAAATGAAACTCTTACATTAGTAATAATTAGAAACTATAGCAATGGAATTGGTTTCACGACTCCTACCGTTGACCCCCTTAATTTACTCAGACACCCTACCTTTTTTGGTTTTCTTTATACTCTCTTGGAAAAGGATCATAAAGCAATAATGCATTGGAGATATCAATAAGCAGTAATGTAACTATGTAACTACTACTCGTATCGTATTATACATATTAGTAGTAACATATTTGGTTTTGTGGCTGTTCATTGGAGCAATTGACAACAAAATTGTAGATGTTTTATATATAGTTTATCCATCAGGTAAGCGTATTTAAAATATTCAAAGATTTCTTTCTAAAATATTATTTAATAGATTAATTAATTGTTTTTAATGAAAAATAATGTGAATAGGTTTAAAAGTTAAAATATAATACACTAGTTAATGTTAGATCTAAATAAGACTATATTTTAATAGATTAGATTATAAGCTAGATACATTTCTTGTTTGAAATAATACTTTTTCAAAATATTATCATGTAAATATGGTTTATTAGCTTTCGTAAAAAAAAAAAGTTTATTAGCTTATGTCTGAATGTTTAGCGTTATCTATCTCTGTATATGTTTAGGCTTTTGTTTTGTGACTTTGCATTTGTCTCGGGAAGGTTATCGATCATAGTGATGGAGACAATTTTCTAGCTGAGAATTCATCACTAATAAACTCTTACATTTAAAAAAAAAACAAAAAAAAATCTCAACTCCTCTCTATTTAATGCAGCTTTCCTCCTTTCACTTTCAGGAGACAACCGAACAGATCTTTTTTTTTTTCTGCGTTTCATTTTCTTACTGTGTATTTCGCTTTCCTTTCTAGCTCCCCTGTTTCACGTCTTCCATATCTCTCTTCCCCTGTTTCACCGTAAACCTCGCAACCCTATTCCCTCTCCCATGGCTTCCTCTATCCTCCTTGTGTAACGTCCACAGAGCTCTATTTTTATTCTTTTCGACTGACCAAAATGGACGAAAAAAACCAAAAAGACGATTTCTCCACCCATAAAAACCCAACTCTTCCTCAAGTCATAGAAGAACTTAAAGAGCTTTGGGCCATGGTCTTACCAATCACAGCAATGAACTGTCTTGTCTACGTACGCGCCGTCGTCTCCGTCCTCTTCCTCGGCCATCTCGGTAGCCTCGAGCTCGCGGGAGGAGCTCTCTCAATCGGTTTCACCAACATCACAGGCTACTCTGTTTTAATGGGCCTCGCCTCGGGCCTGGAGCCAGTATGTAGCCAAGCCTTCGGTAGCAAAAACTGGGATCTCCTCACGCTCTCTCTCCACCGTATGGTCACTATTCTCTTGATCGCCGTCGTGCCCATCAGCCTCCTTTGGGTCAACCTCGGGCCCATCATGCTCTTCATGGGCCAAGACCCGGAGATAACAGCGACAGCAGCTGAGTACTGTCTCTACGCGCTTCCTGATCTCTTGACCAACACTCTGCTCCAGCCGTTACGTGTTTACTTGAGGTCACAGCGCGTGACGAAGCCGATGATGTGGTGCACGTTGGCTGCGGTGGCGTTCCACGTGCCGTTGAACTATTGGCTTGTCATGGTGAAGCGATGGGGTGTTCCTGGTGTGGCGACTGCTTCCGTTGTGACGAACTTGATCATGGTTGGGCTTTTGGTGGGCTATGTTTGGGTTAGTGGGAAGCTGCATAAGGGAGTTAGTGGGTCTATGACGGCTGCGGGTCAGTCGTCGTCGTCGTCGGCGGTGGAGTTCTTTGGAGGGTTGGGACCGTTGATGAGAGTGGCGGTTCCGAGTTGTTTGGGGATATGTTTGGAGTGGTGGTGGTATGAGATTGTGACTATAATGGGTGGTTACTTGGATAATCCTAAACTTGCTGTTGCTGCTACTGGGATTTTGATTCAGACAACAAGTCTTATGTATACTGTTCCTATGGCTTTAGCTGGATGCGTCTCTGCTCGGGTACGTGTCTTGTCTTTTATCTCTCTATTTTTATGGATTTAGTTTAGTCAACTCAGTGTAAACGGGGACCTAAACACCCGTTTACATAATAAATTGGATATAATAAGCGAAATATTTTTTAAAAATTAGGCGGCGCAGAAACAAACACTCGTCCATGATCAAGATTTGAGTCAATGATTATTGACTAAGTCGTCAAGTTTTGAATCAAAGACTATTTGACTAGTTGATTACTTGGTGAAGTTATGAGTAAAAAAATGATTGTTTAGAAATTAAATTTTAGTTGAAACGTCTTTAGCAGACTTGTCTTTTTGATTAGATATGAGTACAGTATTAGTTAATTAATTAATTACGACTCATAAAGTCTGGGAACTTGAAGCTGTGAAAACAATTTACAAGATGTAAAAACGTTACTCAAGAAAGATTTGATACACTTTGTTCTTGTTATTGGCATAAGTTATTTATTTTTTGAAAGTTTCCAAGGATAGAAAACGTGCAATGTGATGTAGGGTTAGTAAAATGTATTGCATCAACTTCTATTAATAGACCACCCCGTGACATGTGATTGGACATTAACATACCTAAAAATAAAATAAAAATAAAAAAAGTGGTTGAAAAGAAAGTAGTCAAGTGTGGTCTCATGACACTCTTCAAACCTCATCGAAACCCACTTGTCCTTGTCTGTTTCCTTTAAACGTGACAAAAGGTTGGCTTCAATAACTAACTTTTAAGATTTTGATTTTTTGGCGTTTCATTAAATGTTTCACAGGTTGGAAACGAGCTTGGTGCAGGTAGACCATACAAGGCGAGACTAGCAGCCAACGTGGCTCTAGCTTGCGCATTTGTAATAGGAGCATTGAATGTGACTTGGACTGTTATTCTAAAAGAGCGTTGGGCAGGGCTTTTCACTGGCTACGAGCCACTCAAGGTGCTGGTTGCTTCGGTTATGCCAATTGTTGGGCTCTGCGAGCTAGGGAACTGCCCTCAAACTACTGGTTGCGGGATTCTAAGAGGGACAGGTCGGCCTGCGGTTGGGGCACATGTGAATCTTGGGTCGTTTTATTTCGTTGGGACGCCTGTGGCGGTTGGACTAGCGTTTTGGTTGAAAATTGGGTTTAGTGGGTTGTGGTTTGGGTTGCTTTCGGCTCAAGCGGCTTGCGCGGTTTCGATATTGTATGCGGTTTTGGCAAGGACTGATTGGGAAGGAGAATCGGTGAAAGCGATGAGGTTGACGTGTATGGAGATGGGAAAAGTTGGGAAGGATGAAGAGTCATCGTCGTTGTTGTTAGTGGATGATGAGAAGTTGAGTGATGTTTTGTAATAAAAGTGTGGGGTCAAATGAAGAGAGACTTATTGTTGTTTGGTTCATCTTTGGTGTTTTAATTTAGTGGCGAGTGTTGTCAATGTTTTGTGTCCATTTCGTTTTCTAAAACCTTGGAAACTAAATCATTTTAGACGTTGAAAATCTGATTAATAAAAAATACTAGAATATTAGATTTTTTTTTGTTGCCTGAAATGGTGAAAAAGGAGAATATAATAAAGCTTATAAGAAACCTTTTTTGGCCATATTAAGCCACACATCATTGAATGCATGCCTATACCCCTTTGTCTCTCCTTTTTGGTGTGACTTTTGTAATAAACAAACAAAAAAACATTTTTGAAAGTTTCATTTGTCTAATTATGTTAAAGTTGGGTCAAGAAACGATGATGAAGAAAGGATACGATACATTAAATTTTTTGAAAAGCACAATGATTCAAAGTCTGACACAGATACATGTGTTCCCCCCAAAAAATCTTTGGGACATACCATTGCCATATTAGTCTCCATTCAAAGACTTTCTTTTGGTCGGGCACTTCAAGTCTCGACTATGAATTTAGAAGAAACGTATCATTGTCAGTTTGTAACACACCTTCCGATTTTGTTTTTCTAGGTGTTGCAACTTAAATGTCATTAGCCAGAAACTCAGATTATTCTTAGAAATTCGTAGCACAGTGACGAAACAGAGTATTTTTTTTTTTTTTTTTGAACACAACGAAACAGAGTATAATTTTTATTTCCATGTTATGAAACTATAAAAATAGACACATGCATCATATTGGGAATGGATGATAAAGGTACGGCTTGTAGCAGTTTCCTTTTATGAATAATAAATGCAGAAAACATGAAACAGAGTCACAGATGGCACTAATTGTACGCCAGTGTCACTAAATATGTTGCAGATAGATAGTGACAGAAGAAAGATCTAACCTACAAATATCTGCAGACGAAAACTCTTTCAAGATTTTGTAATTTATTTTCTTAAACCAGCTGAAAACAATTACCAATGGACCACTTCTAAGTTCTGACATTGTGATATGCTGTCCACTCCTCAATTGATGTACGGTTCCTTTCTCTGTTATGTTTCAAATCTATTAATAACTCTTTAGTGATTGAAATTTAGTACTCAGTTTCATTTTAATTGTTATTCTAGGTTTTAACCACTTTTCAACCAATAGAAAAATGAAATATCATATAATACTAATAAATTTTGTCTTAAAACTCTAAAACGACACTTATTTTGAAACGAAATTTTTTCTGAGAATGACAATTATTTCCAAACAAAGGGAGTACTATTAAATAATATTCCACTCTAACAATTTAACAACTTGATATCCCGAGCCACCAAAGTCCACCTGGAAAAGTCAGATTTAAAGTCTGGGCCATAACTATGTAACTGTGACCTTTAAAGCAAAACTTGTTTGCTCACATTGAGAAGTAACAATGCAAAAGATAAAGCTTTCACGCTACTAGACAGAAGAATGAACGAACCAGATGAGCATGCATCTACTAGTAAATATTGATTCAGTTCTTTTAAGACATTTAGCTACTCTTCTCAGTCGTTAACTTGACCTTGTTGCGCCCTGATCGTGGCTTCTCCTGTGAACCTGATTTCCCAAAACTCCTCCTACCTGCTCTTGACCTTGTATGCGGCTTCTCCTGCGAACCTAAACTCCCAAAACTCCTCCTACCACCTCTAGGACTTGAGTTTCTACGACCACGCTTCAGACTCTGGTCTTGCTCAACTTCAAGTTCATCATCACCATCATCATCCTCCTCTTCCTCATCAACATCATCCTCCACTTCAGAACCAGAAACATCATCATTCTCACCCTTTGCATCACTCTCACAAACTTCTCCTTCCACCTCCCCCTTATCTTCTCTCTTCCTGCTAGACACAACATTGTTCTCCTTCTTAGCCTTACTCATAAGCTTCATATAACGGTTCCGGCACGTCACCAACTGATCACTCTCCACCAACACCCCCCTCTTATAAGCATCCCTAAGCACAACAGTATGAGTCCTAAGCTTACTCGACAAGTAAAAAACACCAGGAAGGTTATGCAAAACCCTCTTAAACCTCGACCTCAACCCCATAAACTCCCCAAGATGCAAAACCAAATCTTTCTCAACCTTCCTCGACACAAAAAGATTCAAAACCTCATGCAAAACACCAGCCGCCCACTTATCAGACTCATCACTCGTCGCGGACAAATGAAGCATATTCTCATAGGGAGAAAGATACGGCAGCTTCTGCCAATCATCAATCCATCTCTTCATCTTCTTATCAACAACAAATCCGTTAGAGAATTTCATCGGAAACGCAATCGGAGCGCCTCTACTATACCCTTTCTCCTTCTTCTCTAACACAGACACAGAATGCTCCTTACTCCAACAAACAAGCTCAAGCTCTCCCCTACTACTAAACCCTCTCAACTTGCTTCTAACAACTCTAAAATAATCAGGGAACTCCGGAACAACCGACTCAACGTAACCCTTGGGCAAACCTAAATCCCATTTCAACAAATCAAGAATCTCCAACGGAATCTTATTGATTCTATTGATCATTAAGAGTTTCAGCAACCTATCAGCTAACCCCTGTTTATAAGACTCGCTCCCGTAGACCAACTCCTCCTCGGCGTCGAGGTTGAGAGTCTCCGGCGTTAGGGAGATGTGAGGCTGGATGCCTCCGGGGAGGGACTCGTGGAAGACGGAAGGGAAGGCTCTGATGAATTCGATTGGGCGGAGGGGGATCCGGAGGGAGTCTCTTTGGGATGCGATGACGGAGATCGGGAGGGATTTGGTTGGTTCTGATGTGATTAGGGATTTGATGTTGAGGAGGGGTTTGAGATTCTTCTCGCGCTCGACGGCGTGGTCGAGGCCTCTGTCTCTGACGAATTTGTAGGTTTCTTCGGGGGTTTCGGAGAAGGTGCGGTGATGGCGGCGGTGGGGGGAGATTGTGCGGAAGAGGGATTTCATTTCGGAGGCGGAGGGTTTGTTAGGGTTGAGGGAGAGGAAATGGAGTAAGGGTTTAAGGAGGATTTAACAGAAAAGAAAATGGAAATGGAACAAATGAGAGATAAACCGAACCGAAATTCAAAATATAATTCACTTAGTTAATTTATGCCATCCGTATCCCAAACCGAAACTCTATTTCGGTTCGGTTTGATTTTTTCAGATCCGGTTAAATTGTCTAGGACCTACACTGGTGGATATGATAAGTGTTTTATTTTTTATTTTTTGATATGATAGATGTTGATTGTTAAACACTAAGCACTGTTTTAATCGAAAAGTTCTTATCAGAAAAACATTCTAGTCAATCTATTTTCCTGTGTAGTACCAAAACTTTCTGGTGAAAAAGATTTATACAAAGGGTTATGTTTTGCAGAGATTTCTCATAGTGTCACACAAAATCTTCTACTATACACATGATGGATGGCTTCGGGGAGATGGTAATTCAGCAGCATTTCCTAATCATACTGATGTGGCATGCTCACTAGATTAGTCGATAATTTATAAGGTATTTTGATCGTAGTTACTTTGCGATAACAAACTAAATTTCACATTGGAGAATTAGATAAATAGTAACTAATATATAAAGAAATGTCCAATTCTAACTAATATGAAGTTTTTTAGAAAAGAAATCAAAAGTAAATCTATGCGAATCGGTCTCTAAGGTCTGGTCAATATTGAAATTTAAAATGAACAATATCGTATTAATCGGATAATAAAGAGTTGGATATGAGTTTTAACAAACCCAATACTTACTACTAAGTAAGTAGTAGTAGGGATGAGATACAAGTGGTATTTTTGTGGCATTTTTTGTGGCTGTCTCTGAAATTCTAAGAAGACTATAGGTATGTTCGTTTTAAGAACTCAATAACTGGCGTTAGCGGCAATAAATATAGCTACGACGGTAGTAATTTTACAAATTAGGTACGGCTGCATCAGTCGCCAAGGATCGATAAGTGACATGAAACCAGAGTTGCCGCTGCCGCTGTTATTTCTAGCGTCTCATCTGCTGGTTGTTACTTGCCGTAGCGACTGAAAAAGAGAATCTCTTTTGACGCGAGTGTGATGTATTTGCCGTGATCTTAGCTGTTATTTTGAACCTCTGCGGCTGTCACTGGCGTTTATTAAACGAACATGCCTTATCAAGTACCAAACATCTCCTAGTATTGGCCTAGTCATTGTGTGCTGCAAGTACTGTACATGTCAATGTGTGTGTCTATATATGCAAGAGCCATTCAACGTCTCTGAAAAGAATTATTTGTACAGTAAGAATACGAACACACTGTCCAGCGAATCATTGCAGGCGATTTGTTCTGCCTTTGATATTTGCTAAAAGCACTAAATCTTCTAATCTCCTGGCACAAATTTGCACATCTTTCGGCTTTAAGCCTTTTGAGTTGTGACAACTCATTACCCACAAGCGTTTTGTGTATCTCCTGACTGGTTAATCCTCGTTTAAGCTAAAGTAAACACGTTGATATCATTACAGCTCTGGTGACAATGTTAGTCTAATCAAATATGTTAAACCCCCGGACAACTATTCCGTGCTAAACGTTACGTTGTAAAGGTGCAGAGTTCATTGGCTTCTTCCTTTTGGACAGCAAGGTTGCTTTGCTTTAAAGCTTGCTAATACATCATTCAAAATTTCAAAACATAACGACATCTCTATCAACCTTTAATAAAGTAACGATAATTAGTTGGGACGCTTAAAAAAAAACAGTTGCATTTTTTTTACCACAGGCCCATCAAAGGCCCACCACTAGTAAAACAAAATATATAAACTGAGCGGCCAATCAATTAAAAAACAAACTTCAAAAAAACAACCTAACCCTAACAAACGTCGATTCTCTCCGCCTCACACGACGGGAAACCTCACTTCCTCCTGCCGTCGCGCTAAATCCCACCGCCGATCAATCATGGCTACCGCAAACTCTAATCGTTTCGATTTCTCCTCAGCTGATTCGGCTCCTCCTAAGCTCTCTCTCTCCCCCGATCAGCTCAGCTACTGCCACCAAGCTCTCAAGATTCTCCGCGCAAAGATCTCAAATCCTGACTCCATCTCTCGAGAGTTCGCGAATCTGCAGGTTTATAGATCTCAAATCTTTTCTTTTCTGTTTATGTGTGTTTGTAAACTATATAAAACTGTCTCTTTTGTGAACGTTAGGCTAATAGGATGTTAGCATCGGATATGCTACTAAGCGCTACAGTGGCTATCAACAGTGTCAATTACGATAAGAACAGATACACTGATGTTGTTCCATGTAAAACTTTTCTTGAATTTTTTTTTTTTTTGTTTGTTGAGGATTTTGTTTAACGTGACGGTTATAATCTGATTTTGGTTTTGGATTTTTTTTTAGTTGATAGCAACAGAGTTGTTCTCAAAGATCATGGAGCATCTGGAGATGGATATGTGAATGCAAGCTTGATTAAGGTGATGGTTCTTTATTAGTTTGTGTTTTCTGGTGAGGGTTTTTGACATTGGTTTATGGTTTTGCAGACGTCGTCTTCGTCTTCTGAGAGTGTTTCTGAGTTTATTGCTACGCAAGGTCCTCTACCACACACGTTAGAGGACTTTTGGGGGATGGTGATTCAGGAGCATTGTCCCGTTATTGTGATGCTAACTCGGTTGGTTGATAATTACAAGGTACTCGCTTGGTTTTCAAATCTTGTTTCTGTGTGTTTGACTCGTGTTGAGTTGCTTGCGAAGGAGAGATATATTTAGTTTGATATTGGTTAACTCATTCATTCTAAAGTATTTTGTAAGGAGGTTTCTAGTGACAGATAGATGTTAGCACCGATGTTTTCTCACTAACCTCATATAAATAATGGATTGAAGTACCTTAGAAAATATAAAAAGGAAGAATTTTCAAAAGATTTATTAAGCTGATCATCAATGGATCTGTTTCTGTATTTGATTTTTGACGACATGGTTCTAAAACTATTATTGGTGGAGTTGTTGTGAGCATTTGGTTCTGATGCCATTCCTTCTAACATTAGCTCATTATGGAAGTTTTGTACACTCCATAAGCAGTGTTGATGATTTATAACTAATTGCTGATGATGTTGATTAATGGACTTACGATAAGCTCTGCTCTGTATCTTCATATTTACTGATTTGGCTTATTGTTACAGACTGTGAAATGCGGTGACTACCTTCCAGCCGAAGATAGACCCAGAGGATTTGGCAACATATCTGTTAAGACCAAATGGGTGAAAACTACCGACACTTCATTGTTGTTGCGGAATTTTGAGGTTAACCACAAGGAGGTAAGAATCTTATATCAGTTTTCTACTGTTTCTTTCTTATCGGATCAAAATTTCTATCGTGCCTCCAAGGATCTGAAACTGAAAACTGTGTGGTGATGTGTTTCAGACAGACGATCAGCAGCCCATGTCCGTTTTGCACATTCAGTATCCGGAATGGCCTGATCATGGAGTTCCCAAAGATACAGTGGCTGTCCGTGAAATTCTGAAAAGACTGTATCAAGTACCGCCAAGTCTCGGTCCAATCATTGTTCACTGCAGGTACGACACATGTCAATCAATGTGTGTGTCTCCATATGCAAGTGTCTTCGCAGTGTTTCCTTAGAGAATTTTGTTTTTGTTGGTTATTTCAGTGCAGGGATAGGAAGAACAGGAACATACTGTGCGATACATAACACAATCCAGAGGATTCTTGGTGGTGATATGTCTGCGTTGGATCTTGCTAAAACCGTGGGAATATTCCGCAGCCAACGCATTGGCATGGTTCAAACCATGGTAATCTACTTAAAAATTTTCAGCATGTTGTTACCACATTGTTGTTTTTGTTCATGGTCCTTCTGACTTTGGTTAAAATCTAACTCTTGAAGGATCAATACGTCTTTTGCTACAACGCCATTGTTGATGAACTCGAAGAATTAACTGCGGGGACAGATACTGGAGCGAGTTCGTAAAGGGTACGCAATTTAAATATGAAAAACTTTTGGGGCTGAATGTATAAATCTGCGTACACTTAGTTGTCTTATCTTGTATGCAGGTGGATGCTACATTGTCGTGTGGTCTTTCTGCATAAGTAGAAGACAGGAAAATGCTTAAAAGCACGTCTGGAGAAACTAGTGTGGTTATATCTTGTGAAAAACGAGTCTTTTGAAATACTTATCGATTTCTTTACAATTTGCACATGGTGATTAATATTCGGAACTATAGCTGTGAAAATGCGTGGTAAGTAAGCAAATGAATTTGCCAATGCAAAGATTGTTTAAAAAAAAAAAGACTTAAATCGTATATATCAGGCTATTCTGCTGAAAAATCGGTTTGAATTGGTTGGAATCGATTCCAGATTAATTTAAGTAAGGTAATTTACTACACCGTGCATCTCTGGTAAAAAAGGTGGTATGCGGGTAAAAAATGTCGAGTCATCAACATCGTCACGCGGGAAAATCTCGCTTGTGGTGGAGCGTGTCTCCACGCGCATTAAACATAACTAATAACCATCCCTTTGAGCTTCTCCTCGAGGCTTCTTCTTCGTCTTCTTCTGCTTACAATTCGAGAATCTCGTAAGGGTTTGTTTGTGCCTCCAGATCTCAAATCTCTCTGACTCTAACGCGCATTTTGAATTAAATTTTCTTATTGATCTTTTGCATCTATCTCACAAAATTTCGTCAATCATTTGATAATTTTAGAGGGAGAATCTTTGTATCATCTTAGGTTGAATTTTTCTGTATGAAGAGGCTTTACTTGTTGTTGTAATCTCAAAAGACTCTGAGTGAGCACTTACCAGTCAAGTTTAAGAATCATATATGTGTTTTTAGTGATACACCTTTTGATCTAGGCTTAAGGTATAGAGAGAGATGAGGCTCATTAGTGCATTTCTCTTGAATTCTTCTGTCACTGTTTATAATGTGAACAAAGTTATTGGATTTTGGAATCTGATGTTCCGTTCCCATTCCATAGGCCTATAACTTTATAACCTCAGACATTTGCTTCTGAAAATGGAAGGAATCAAGTCTCTCAAGTGTTGTGTATCATAAATCTGGTTCTGTATTCAGACCTACCTGTTACTAATTGTCAGAAGTGTTGAGGAGCTCTTAGTTGGGTGCGAAAAGTAATGAGCTTCCTTTATCTACTTACTTACTTATAGTGGTTAGTGAAAAATCATCTTCAAGAAGTTTCCATGATCTTATTGTTGATGCTGCTGTTTTAGCCAACAGTGCTCATTGAAAACTGATCAGATTTTTGTTTTTAGTTAGAGCTTTTATAATATTGGTGTTTACTCTACTGACTTTGGTGAATGGCTAGCTTAGTTCTTCTTCTTTTTCCAACTTTTGAAGTTCTTGTTTCATAGAAATAGAATTTGCTGAATCTCTTTGCTTTTGTCAAAAATGCAGGAGTCCTATAAAGCAAGTCTTGTGAATCAAAGACACAAGCATATTCACCCCCTCACATACACACACACACACACAGAAATGAGCTTTGCGTGCCTTGTGTGCCACAGTGTAGACAGCCCATCTCACTCATTTAGAAGCTACTCCGTTTCTAGCTCAGACAATGAAGGAAGATGCTCCGTGATTGCGAGCTGCCTCTCAAGGACATCACTCATCCAAGCTGCAAGATCGAACACTTTCCCTGCATCGTCATCCTCAAAGGTAACCCCACAACCCAACTTCCAAGGAGGTGATCTGATGATAACAGAAGGAGCCTCTCCAAGGTTAGTGCGTAGCCGTGCAGTTAGAAGAGACATTGTCAGAGACTGGAACTTCAACGAAACCGAGACAGAGCTTTAAACAAAAATCAAATCTAACTCTCTCTCTCTCTATAGATTAGTACTACCATGAATGTTCACATAATATTATATGCATCGCTTGTCAAATTTTGTATTGTGCTTACTGCTTTATAAACCAATAAATCTAATATTATTATCGTTCATGTTTACAACTCAAACTACACGCTAAAACTGAGACAAGAACTTGGGAAAAGCAACAACATACAATCTAAGTACTATTCATTAAACGATCTTAAAAAATTTAAACAAAGTGGTCACGTGACGTGAGGAGGGGTTAGGCGTTGGAAGGCACGTGATAGAATTTGCCCCTGCACAAGCACTTGTAAACTACAGGGCAAGCCTCGGAGGCTGAGCACGTGGAAGTAACCACAACGAGTTTGCATGGTCTACATGGTCCACACGCGTGCGAGCAGTCCGGTATGCTGGACCCGCTTGCCACATCTACAACAAATACATTAGTAAAGCCAAGATTTATATAATATATACAGTTTTGATTCTCTAATTAAGATTGAATGATACTCACCGTTGAAGAGGTCTATTCGCAAACCATTACTACTACTAACAAGGAGATGGAGAAGAAGAAGAATCGTGAACAAAGATTGCGATTTCATTTGAAATAGTTATGTTCTCATATAAGAACTCTTTTGAATGGAAGAAGTGTTTTGAAGATATACGATGAAGTGCAAATGTGGAGATGAAGATAGATTAAGATATATACGAGAGTGAGAGTAACATTTAAAATGAAATAGTGTTGGATTCACATGATTCATCCTTACTTTTTATTCATCCTTTACTTTTTTCAAAGGCTTTCACATTCTTTGATCCTTATCAATTAATTTTGAATCTTCATACTGTTTTGGTTTTATTTCAGAATTCATATTACTGGCAATACACTGGCATGCACACACATATATCTGTAAATAATATATACTAAAACTATGAAAAGGTACATACAATATCTATGACGACTCATTATCATCAAAACTTTCATCAAGTCCTACCTGCCATCAAGCGTGACCCCTAGAGACCTTGCTGTTAATGAAGTCCCCACTCTCATTTACTTCCAAGTTTCAACATAGCCGTTTTAGCATTTCTCACATAAATTCTACAAAAATATCTTACTATTTTTAATTGATTTTTGGGACATTTATGGGATAAATATTCATTACTGAATTGGGCTCTGTCCCTGGCATTAAGTTTGGAGCAGCCTATAGAAATACTAACGCCTAAGCAGCACCAACACGTGTCCTTACTACATATTGAGCCTGATCCGTATTGTTCACAACACCATTATCAATATAAATTCCATTCGGACTTGCTAAAGAATTAATTTTAACTATGTTTGATTTAATTTGTGTTCAACATAACTCATAAATCACTAGTATTATAAACAAATTATATACTTTTTATGTTTTGGAATTTACATATAGAATATAATTTAATATTTTATAATATAAATGTTTAATAATAATTTTTTTATTTATACATAATATTATATTATAAATTTTATAACTTGATGCATTTTGATGTAAGTGTATTATTCATATATTAAGATGTTGTTTTTTGTTAATTTATTTTAAAATGAAACAACATACTAAAAAATAATTTTTTGCATTAATATTCTATAAATTATTATTAATTTTAGAGAAATTAATTTTGAATGCAATGGTATAATCTATAAATTAAAATATATACAAAATAAAAGTCTTTAATTTATTATGTATAAATAAAATAAAAGGAATTGATTATCCATATTTTCAAACAATTATGATTTATCCTATTATTCTTATTTCCAAACAATAATAAAGGTATTTCAGTTCTAATAATATTGATTCTTTTAGAAAAATGGTTATTAGTGCTCAAAAGTTAGCAAGATAGTAAAGTGATAGGGGTGGGCGTTCGGGTACCCGTTCGGGTTCGGGTCGGATATTTCGGGTTTTCGGGTATTTCGGTATTGGGGTTTAGAACCCGTTCGGGTATTTTTACATATCGGGTCGGGTTCGGATATTTTTAGTTCGGGTTCGGTTATTTCGGGTCGGGTTCGGATATTTAGATTTTGAAAGAAAAATTTTACATTCTTAATTACTTAAGTTTCATGTATTTAAAATTTAACTATTAACTTAACTGTTTTTTAAATGTTTAATAAGTTAGACGATTAATAAGTTTGAAAATAAATTATTGAAAATAAAAATCATTATTTTGGTTATTATTTTCGAATTTTGGATGCAAATTTTGTTTAAAGTATGAAATAAGAAGCTTAACATGCATTTTAAATGAGTAACAAATCATTTTTTTTTACAATTATATGTATATTATCTGATATTAAACTATATATAACATTAATATAAATAGTTTTAATAAAATGAGACAAAATAAACTAGGAAAAATAGGTATATATACATATGTTCGGTTATCTTCGGATACCCGTTCGGGTTCGGGTATTACCCGTTCGGGTTCGGATATCCAAACTCTCCTAACTCAATACCCGTTCGGGTATTTTGGTACTTCGGTTCGGATTTCGGTTCGGATACTTCGGGTCGGGTTCGGGTACGAGTTCGGGTATCGGATAAAGAGAAAGTGAATGGTTAAGTGACTTTAGTCTTAAACAAATTAACTTACAAAATTTGTGATGTGATGTGATGTCATGTGTGAGCAAGCTGGATAGTGTGATGTGTGTTGCTCAACTAAACTGCTAAGAGCTAATCAATATTGCTTATCAGATTCACAAGGAAACATAACTATTGATATTGCATAGATAACTGAAAAGTACAATATTTTTCATCACTTGTCCGAACAAATAACGAGAGGTAACAAATAAAAACTGGACATGCAAGTGTTCTCTCAATCTTGCCTATGCCGTTTTGTTTAGGAACTCAGATGTCTCATAGACACGAGCAGTGTTATCAACAGAGACCGAAACAATGAACTCAGTGTTGGCAGAGACTGAGATGCCCTGGACCGCATCTTGGTGGCCATGGAAGGTATGAACGCAGTTTCCTAATAAGCTGTCCCAAACGCTCACTGTACCATCAGCAGAGCCAGTGGCTAAGTACTTGGTGGTTCCTAGCCAAGCCACACATGTCACACCTTCCTGTAATAAAAAAATAGAGAAAGGCTTGTTATTTTCCATTCCAATCTCTTGTTTTGTATTACTATCTCATCAGAGAAAACTACAAGAGTGAGGATTATACCGCATGGTCGCAGATGAACCTGGGAGTTGAGTGTTGCAGATCCCAGATTACAAGCTTCTTGTCCATTCCACCTGTTGCAGCCAAAGGGATTGTTGCAGAGCTTGGTGAAAACTTCACACATTCAACTGATTCTGTATGAGAAGTCAGAGAGCTCACCACCTATTGGTTATGATCATGCACAAGTTAGAAGCACAAAGGCAGTTTTCAATATCACACGTCAACCAATCAGGTAAAAGTAAATGAAGGTATTAAGACAAACCTTTCCGGTAACTATGTTGACAATGTGAACAGAACCGTCTTTTGAGCCACTGATAACAAGACTGGAGTTTGAGTTGATGTCCAAGCATATCAGCCCTTCCGTATGATACGGATGACCTATAAAAGGTTAAGCGTTTCACATCAGTCTTAAAAGGTTGTGTACAATAGTAACATGTAAAACCGAAAAAGTAAGTGAATCTTGCTTGCCTTTGACTACATGGATACTTTCACAAGTTTTCGGATTCCATACAATCAAACTAGCATCATCAGAGCCAGTACAAATAAGTTTACCTACAATATCAACACACAGGCAACCAAAACCAATTGTATGTAAATGAGTAAACATAATTAAAGAATCCAAAAACATATTAGGCAGAAGCTAGATTACCGTCAGGAGTGAAGTCACCGCAAGTGACACTTTGGTTATGACCAGAAAACATATTAAGGTAAGCCTCTTTATCAGCATTCCACATCCACATAGAACAATCTTCTGATCCAGCCAACACAATGTGTCCTCTCGGATGCCACTTCACCCACTCGATTCCACCACCAGGACCGTCCAAAACACACTTTAGAATCCCAGACGATGCGTCAAAGATCTGAACAACACCATCTAACCCTCCAGAAGCAAGTAACTGTCCATCGTAGCTAAAAGCTAGAGAAGAAACAGAGTCCTTGTGACCTAGAAGCTCAGCAGCCCAATCTCCATTACCGATTTTCCAGAGAAAGGCTTTATCATCTCCACCTCCAGTTGCTACTAGGGTTGGATCCGTTGGGCTACATGCCATTGCATAAAGCTCACCTGTGCCAAAGAAAAACCTTGTTAGTTTCATTTACACCAAATAAAAAAAAACCATTCTTAGTTTCACGAAAACAACAAGCGTTAGAATGATAAAGTTGTTACCTTTGTGACCAGTGAATGTGTGAATGGAGTCATCGTTTTCATCTGCAACAACAAGAATCCATTAAACTTATGCAGAAACAGAAGATAAAATACAAGAGATGGTGATGAGTGATTACCAAACTCTTCATCATCGTTATCATCATCATCATCTGCTTCAGGAAGATCTGAATTTACAATAAAAGAGTCACACAAACATATACATATGATTAAAAGGTCACGACTTTAAGAAGAGAGAGATGGAATATGATGAAAAAGAATCAACCTTCACCGTCGACATCGAACTCTTGGATAACATCTGATTCACCGAGGAAAACCTCTCCCTCATCATCTTCTTCTTCTTCTTCCACTGTTGGGTTATTCTTCTCTGTGTTACTCATCTTCTTTCTCCTTTCTCTTACCACAGCAGCTCAACACGACGAAGGGTGAAGAAAAGAAACAGAGAGGCGGCGGAGAGAGAGGGAGGGTGTGACGTGTCACGACGATGATTGAGCTCGGAGACAAGACTATAAAAACCCTTTTTAATGTTTACTACGTCGTTTTATTTATTTAGATTGTTAATCAAATAGCCAACGTCATATCAATGTAAACATGACGTCAAAATGATGGAAGTATGCAAATTGCTGTTCATTTTTATACACAATCCGACACAAATCTTACACAACAAAATCACATTATCTTCGAATGTTAGTTTCATTTCACGAAAATAAAAAGAAAACTTACCTAATTAATTTTATAAAAATAATTATTTTTTCTCTTATAAAATATGTTTTTGAGTTACCTAGGACCAGATAACTCAACGGCATGCAAATTATAAGTAGAATCAACGATCCAATCAGAGTGAGGATTAGGACTCAAATCAATCTCTTCCCTCAATATCTCCCCTTTCTGCCACTCGTCCCATCTCTCCGCAAGCCCATCTCCTTCCAGCATCCTCACAACGTCAGACATCTTTGGTCTTTCCATAGGAGATCCTTGCGTGCAAAGCAACGCCACTTGTATCACCTGTTCCAGCTCTCTCTCCTCATAGTTTGTCTGAAGATCAGGATCCACCAACATCTCTAGCTTCTTCTCCTTCAACAACCCTTTCACCTTTAACAACAAAACACACACATAAAGTTAGCAACTTCACTGAGTGTTTCTTCGGATCAAATTTAGCAACTTCAGTGAGGGTTCTTGTCAACAAAGTTAGCAGTTTCATTGAGAGTTCTTGAGATCAAATTTAGATGCTTCATTAAGGGTTCTTGAGATCAAAGTTAGCAGCTTCACTAAAGGTTCTTGGTAGGCTTGTAGGTTCGGTTAGTTCGGTTCATAAATGTTATTGAATAAACCCAAAATGAAGTTTGGTTTGGTTTATTCGGTTTTTAAAATCCTACTGAACTTTTGTATTTTAGTTAGATTTTGATTTAATTTTGTTAAAATTGTGGATACGTTTGGTTAGTTCGGTTTCGGTTCAGGTTTTTGGTATGGTTTAGTTATGATTTTATAAGAAAACCAAAACTAACCAGTTATTAAACCGAAAACCGAACTTTATAAAAAAACATATCGAAAACTCCTAACCGAACTAACCAAAAATTTTGTTCCATTTGGCGGGTTTGGTTTGGTTCGGTTCAAAATCTCAGGCCTAGTTCTTGGGATCAAAGTTAGCAGTTTAATTGAGGTTACTTGGAATCAAAGTAAGTAGCTTTATGTCTTACCCAATCAAGCAACATGACGTCGTCATCGTTAGCCAGCCTCGCAAGATCAAAAGCTCTTTGTCCTGTAATAAGCTCCAAAAGCATGATACCATAACCAAAAACATCTGTTTTCTCCGAAGATTTCCCCGTAGAGAGATACTCTGGAGCGATGTGACCTATCGTGCCACGAACAGCTGTAGTCACGTGAGTGTCTTTATAGTCCATTAGCTTCGCTAGACCAAAATCACCAACAACAGCTTCAAAGTCCTCATCTAACAGAATGTTCGCTGCTTTCACATCACGGTGAATGATCTTAGGGTCACAGTGATCGTGTAAGTAACATAAACCTCGAGCTGAGCCTAGAGCTATCCTTTTACGCGTTGGCCAATCTAGTGGAGGCTGTGACGGTGGCCTCTCTGCAAAAGTTATGAATCCATTAGAGAAACAAAAAACATTTAAAAGATGTTTTTCTTTTTTCTTTTTTCTTTTTGTTTACCTCTGAGACATGAAGCAACGCTTCCGTTGGCCATGTAAGGATACACAAGCAATCTCTCAGTTGGTGTCATACAGAAACCTCGTAGTCTCAAGAGGTTTCGGTGAACTGCCATACTTATCATCTCAACTTCTGTTTGAAACTGAAGCTCTCCTCCTGGAGTTCGCTCTTCTTTTAGTCTCTTGACAGCAACAAGAGTTCCGTCTGCTAAACGGCCCTTGTAGACTTTCCCAAACCCGCCTCTTCCTAGTATGTTCTTGTTGCTAAACCCGTCGCTCGCCACTTGTAGCTCACGCAAAGAAAATCTCTTTAGCTGTCCCAGATGAACCTCTGGATCCTCTTCAGCTGCAAGTATATATGTATTTGCAGTTAAATTTTGCTCAAGAAACAATGGATTCTCTCTTGATTTTCCTACTAGCTTCTTTAATAAACTCACCAGGCACGTCGAAGAAAATATCTTGAGGCTTTCTTCGACGCCACCAAGCAAATGCTATTGCAGGAGCAGCAAACAACAAAGCAGCACCTGCGGCCACTCCACCAGCTATTGCTCCAGTTATACCGTACCCACCTGTAATCAAATTAGATGTTATATGAGTGAAACCGATAGATGGAGAAGCAAAGATCTTATCTTCTGCTGATGTAGACTGAAAAGAGGCAACTTACTAGGGGTGGAAACTGGTGGAGGTGGAATAAAAGGTGGAGGAGGAGAAAACGGAGGAGATCCAGGACATGGGTGACTTGTAACAGGTCCACAAAGGTCTAAGTTATTAGCAAAACTGCAAAAGTCAAATGAGAATTTCAGTTGTTGAAAAGTTCAGACACTGAAATAATAACTGATATAACTGAGGAAGATTGAAACGTAACCTGATGGGTGTAAAGAGTGAGAAGGAGCCATTGTCAGGAACCGAACCAGAGAGTTGGTTGTTTGATAGATCTCTGTGTTTGTATTAATTCAAACAAATCAATTGAAGGAGAATTAAGAAGGCATACAGTGAAAGATGATGAGAAAACTCACAGCACTTGAAGGGTAGTGATATTGGTCAGAGACATGGGAATAGACCCAGTGAGAGTGTTGTTGTTTAGACGCCTACTCTTGCAAGTAAAAATTTTCAGCAAAGAGTAAAAAAATTGGGACCAAACCGAAGGTAAAAATAAGAGTGTAACTGAGCCGGTAAAGAAAGTATACTCACAGAAACCTAAGCTTTGAAAGCTTCCCCAGTGATTCAGGGATGGGACCAGTGAAGCTGTTTAAGTAAAGATCCAAGCTCACTAAGTTTGTCAGGTTTCCAAGATTACTAGGAATAGGGCCAGTTATGTTGTTACTGTAAAGCTCCCTGTTAAGAAAGTAAAGAAACATTATAAGAAGATTTAAACTAAAATTTCTATCTCCAGTGCCTCTAATATAAATGTGCACTTACAAATACTGCAAATTCTTGAGAACACCAAGATCCGGAACTAAATGGCCAGACAGCTCTGCATTACCCAAATCGCTGTAGTTGACACAAAAGAAACAAATTCTGTCAGGGAAGGAAATTGAAAATTCAAAGTTGAAAGAAGTACGAAGCTTTACACTCTTATGACGCTGTTCTCGTTATTACAAGTGACATGAAACCATGTGCAAGGATTCACAAGAGTAGGATCCCAGCTCTGCAAGACATTGTTCGGATCAACGAGAGTGACCCTCAAAGTATGCAACGCATCCCCTGTAAACAAGAACCACAGATCCACAAGATTAGCCTATCAAGATGTTACACAAAAAAACTCTAATTCCAATAGAAATAATAATCGCTCCTTTGTAAGATTTAAAAACTAACAATCAAGCAAATTTGTGAAGGAGTAAATCAAAAACAAAGGAACTCTGTCACAGACATGTTTGGATCAAGAAACACACATAGATTCAAGACCCAATAAAAACAATATAAGCTTCAAGCTGTTACAGATACGAACAAGGAATCACAAAGAGCCAATTCTTACCAAACTTTATCAGCAAACTTTATCAGCACATGGAAAGAAGAAACCTGGTAACAGTGATCTTAACAAGAAAGGTAGTAGTTGATTCACTGTAAATAGCCACTAACTCTAGAACAAACATCTAGAAAACAATGAACATGAATCTCAAGAGCAGACAAGAACTCAACTAATCAAAACCAAATCTTTTATCAAGAACCCATTTTTCTAACTCAAAATGCAGACAATGTGAGAAGGATTCACTCCACACATAACCAACTAACCGAACCAGAGCGTTAACAAACCTTCCAGATTAGCAGAGGCAAACCAGAATGTATGAATCGGCAGCAAGATGAGTGAAAGTAAGATAAACACGACACGAATCCTCTCCATTTTGATGCTACAATGCTAATTCCGTGACTTTATCTCTTCAGATCCAACATCACCTCGTGGAAACCCTAAACCCACAAAAAATCCCCACCTTTAATCTCCAAAAATCAAATCCCTAATCAATCTCTCAGCTAACCAACAAAACCCATTATCGATAACACTTGAGTAAGAGAATAAAAATCCTTACTTTCCGGCGTTCTCGTCGTCTTTTCTCAATCAAACCACACTCACACATACACACACACTCTCTCTCTCTAACTTTGAAAAGAAAAAAGATTGGTGCTTTTGGGAAAGATCTACGTGAAGTAATGATAACGAGAGCCTTTTTTTTTTTTGTTGTTTATAAATTTTGTTAAGCCGCAAACAACAAAGCCTGCCAGAGAAACTATGATTACTACTGTTCTTCCCCTCTTATCTCCTTTTTATTTTTTTTCTCTCTTAAAATATTGTTTTTTTTTTGAATAAAGTAATATTTTTATTTTTTTTAGTTTTAATCTCAACATGCTTCTCTTATTTATGGGCATGCAGTGTGAGTGAGGAAGACGAGGAATATAGAGCTGCCCGTAACGGTGCTGCCCGGTTTCGCCAGTCAAATAAACGGGTTCACGCGAGAGTGTTGAAAACGACGTCACTTTCTTGTTTTGGGCAGGCTTTGAAGCTCTTCAGGCTCTGCACCTGTTTCCCCTGGTTAAACCTATGCGAGAATATTAATATTTTCTTTTTCTTTTTGGTCAAGTGAGAATATTAGTATGTTATTAAAAATAAATTATATAATTCTAGTGCATTCTTATTTAAAAACTATCATCATTCTCTCACTTTCTTTTTTTGTTTTTTTTTCATTATTTAAATTGTTAAAAAATATTAGAGACCTATATGCGGTAAAAATGCACTAATGCAGAATAAGATTCACAAATATACAATTTGAAAGACAGGTTTAGTTTGATTAGTTTTCAATCATTTGTAGAATATAATACCTTAACTTTTACGATATTGTGTTTGAAAAAGGAATTAATTTACAGAAGATTTTTTTTTTTCGCTAATTTACACAAGAATAAAATTAAATTATTGAGGATAATTTTATATCATCTAATCGCCATCTTATAGGCCATAATAACCAACATACATTCCGCTAAAATTTACAAAGGAAGAATCTTTGAACTTTGATATTGCGGCTGAAACGAGAAAATGCTATGAAGCTAATGCACACAAAGGTCTACTTCACTATCGTGCAATTGAAAACCTACATTTGACCAAAAAGATGGGACAGCTCGAAAATCACACAAACCCGCCAAAGTAAACTATATAAGGTAAATTTTCTCTTTGACCAAAAAAAAAAAAGGTAAATTTTCTCTAAAGAATTTCCTCTGAATACGTGTCTCAAACGAAAGTTTGTTGCTCAAAAAAAAAAAAAAAACGAAAGACATGAGAAACGTAAAAGGTGGAAGCTTAAAGAGACCCACAAGAGGTCTTGTCTTACAAGGAAATGTTATATAGGCCTAAAATGAAAACTGTAAATCCTGGAAGATCTCAATAGAAAAAGTTACAGCCCAATTTTTCTGAATATTATATCTTCATTCTTGAAAATCACAAAGTAATTTTTCCAGGAAAAGATGGAAAAAGGGTCTTCTAAAATTTGAGTAAAATCAGGTGGAAGAAACTGTAGAGACGGCAAAGACAAAATTTGGCCAAGTTCCACTGTGGAGTTGGCATGCTCTGTCTATGCCTTTACTACTGTTCCACATTAGAATTTTACAGAAAACTTGTCCTCAAACATGTTTTCGTCCATTCAATGCACACATTGAGTAGTTCAAAAAGTAGAGTAAAGAAAAAGGCAAATTGTATTTGTTACCCTGTAAATATCACACATTATGCTTTAGCCCATGTGTGGTGGACTCTTTACGATGAAAAGGTTTCTAGAACAAAACCTAAAAAGTAAAGACGAACCTACAAGTCAGTTCAGAAACATTTTCAAAATAATGTGTACGATTTTTAAATGTTGGAATAGCTAAAACAAGTATATAATCCGTAGTATCGAATGAGAGTGTTACTGATTATTATAAAGAAAAGCTCTGTTGATTAGATCGGGTCTATTTAATCAATTTCGATATAAGAATACATTTGAAGATGTAATAAAAATGCAAAGAAATCTAAAACCAATAAAAAACATATTCAAGTTCACGATATATATATGCCGCATACCATAATGATAATCTAAAGTGAAAGTGGCCAACAGACGTTTCAGGTAAGGAAGAGGTAAAACAAAAACAAAACCAAAAAAAGTCGAGAGAGAATCAAAGAACATCGAATTTACAAAGAGGAAAGATATCATGCAAAAAAAAGAAAGAAAAGACGGACGCAAACGCTACCAAATATTGGAAAACGCAAACGCTGAACGTTGTTCTAAGTGAGTTTACGCCAGATAGATCCTTTGGAAGCAGCTAAGCACTTGACTCTCGGGAACACAAAGCCTGTCTTTGGAGGATTACCATCTACCAGAGTGTTCTCATATATTTCTTTGCACTCTTGTACCACCTGTTTTTTCATTACCACAACCATTTTAATCAACACTGCTATTGTTTTGTTCTTACTCAAGTCTCAACACCCTGTCCTAAACATAATCTTTTCCTAAAAATAGAGTTTGGTGTTTACCTCTTTCGTGTCCTTCCGTGGTATGCCTTCACGCAGTCCAACAAGCTTCTCCACAACCTCGGCCTGCGATTGATTAATTAGAGATTATGTATATCGAGGAAAGATTATCTTTGCAAAAACCAAAAGAGTAGTATTATTATTTACCGGGCAGTCAGGCTGGTGCTCAAGAATGTTGGAGTACACGAGTGTAAACGCATCTAGACTCTCCGCAGATGCTAGTTCTCTCAGATCACTCATTATTCTGAGTCTGCTTTCCACTTTCTGTAACACAAACCCCAGTGGACATCGCGGGTTACGAAGCAGTTCTAAATGAAATAACATTTTCCAGGTTACTTAACCAACTTACAGAAGCACTTATATACTCCCTAAAGAAATCCATGAGAACCTCCTCGTCCAGCCTCATTCGTTCAATGGTTTCTTCCTTGATGTAGTTTTTCTGATATTATCAACCCCAAGGATCAGTACGTATGTATAATGATGCTACATGAAAGGCAAAGACCGGAGAGAATAATAATAGATGGGGAAACCTGTGTAAGGAGATGATCAACATAAACAACGACTGTTTCTTCAAGGCAAGCTTCGACAAATCTTCTAAATGATCTCTCTTCGACATACCTGCATCACCATTCACCACTAAGTCCTCAGTAGAGTTTTGGTGATACAAGTTATGTTACACAAAAGGCGAACAAGACAAACTTACATTTTTACATCTGTGAAATAATCACTAAAAGTTGCTACGAGATACTCCGTAACCTGTCCCTCGCACCATTCTGTTAAAGTACACAGCCAAAGTTAAGAACAAAACTACATGAGGACCAAGCCAAGAACAAGTATCAAGTATGTATGTCATCTCGCTGAGATATAGCATGTCGATTATGCTGTTTAAGAGGAAATGAAAAGATAAGAAGGATGAAAGAGCGTGACTTGATTTTCTTAAATGGATGTGTTACAAATTTTAAAAAACCTATGACATTAAGAAACATAAAGAAACCTAATGCGGATGAAAATAATCCATATTTAGAAATCAAGTGGAAATTAGTAGCAAAAGTAACAAGCAGATAGCCTCAACTGCCACTATTCACACATTAACAAAGCTAAAAAGACAAGTCCCACATAATGGTCGATACCTTTTTGGTAAAGCTTGACAAGTAATTCCTGAACTCCTGGATCCTCAAAGATAACACAAACTGTTTGATGCACTGCTTCCTGCGATCAGGAGACCAGATGTCACTCGTGTAATATTCAACATAAATATTTTATCTTAACAAATTGCAACGTCAGATTGATTTTAACTTCCCGGAAACTATAAGGTCAGACAATACAAACGCAAGAAGTAATTTGGATTGCAGACAGGGGAGAAATAAGAATCTTTGACGCACCTTAGCCACCTCCAAGAAACCTTTGCAAGTGTCTTCGAAGTTTACCTGAAAGAAACACAACAGTTTACAAACATTTTCCTAAGCATACAAACAGTGGAATCTAACACTTTTGATCACCATAATATATTGCAAGGAAATTAAGATCAGAAAATGGCAGTTGGTTACCTGCTCCGCGTAGTTTTGTGGAAGAGCTTCTAAAGTGCTATTACTCAACTCCATGGCAAGGTCGTAGCAGCGAAGGTTATTGTTTATCTATAGGAAGTATTAACAAATATCAATCTATATCAAAAATGGAAGATTGGTGCTGTGCCATTTAAAGAGTCATATGTTCTAACATACCATAGCGCAAAGAGGTTCCAGACCAATGTCAGAAGCGGGTTCTGCAACTCTCTTCCTTTCAGCTGCTTGGAAATCGATCATAACCTGAAGTAATGAACAAATATGAATGAGAACATAGAACATGCATATGGCTTATGATGCAAAACCTAAGTAATTTAAAAGGTAAAGACGTTATGATCAGCTTATATGAAGAGGGGAAAAAGTTGAAAGAAGAAAGAAGAAAGAAGGAATAAATGGAATTGGACACTAGAGTGGGATATGGAAAATAGCTGGAACTGGTAAAGTATCCAGCATTAACGCTCACAAGAGTTCTAGAAAAAAGCAAGAACGAATTGAAATTGCTGAGTATATAGACAATGAAAAGCCTGAGAAGGAAGATGAATAATCTCCAGTTATAACCCATTTCAATTCATAGACACACAAAGATATTGGGGGAAACCAATATATATTTCCAACTTCTCTGACTTGCCTGAATAATCGCCAACGCAATCCTGTACAACATAACATCGGTGCTATTATCTCTGACAATTTGCACTTGCTCTCCAAGTATTCTGAACAAATCTACAGCAGCCGGTGTGTATAATTTTCCTTCCTCTGTTTTCTTAGGTGGTTGCACCTTATCCGCCTCAAGGATATTCATGTACCATTTCTGCAACCAGAGACATTGGCAACTAAAGTTTAAGCAAAAAATAATTATTATAACTGTAAGCCTTAAAACTAGCACTAGCTTGTCAAACGTGCATGTCATTACCTTCGTTGTAGCCTGCATTCGTTCAACATATGCATTCATAAGTGGATCCATAGAACCACTCTCTGAACACACCTGAGCTAGTGAATCATCAACACCAAGTGCAATCAAGTTTTCTTGGTACTCTACTACCCAACCAGTAACCTAGAAAGATCCAAAAGAGACAGAGGATATACATCACTCTCACTAGAATATCTGATGCACAGAGACAGGATTAAACGAATGATGCATATTTCACAATGTGTTAAGGCATGAACGCAAAGATAGACAATAACTTAGGTGGCAGCCACAAAATACTACCCCCTTAATAAATTCAATGGTCCTCACTTCAAATCACTCGCATTAGCTTGAC